TGCTCTCAGCTGAATAAAGACAACCAAGACAAGTGAAAACAAACACACAAAGACAAACAAGATGAAGAAAAACACGAAAATGCAAGAACTCAAAAGAACCACTTCGTCGTCGGGTTGTATCTGTTAAATCAACTATCTCCAACGATTACAAGATAAGATGATCTAACGGTTAAAAACCCGTCGGAAATGTAGTATCTCTCCAAAATATATGTTTTCAATTCAATCAGAGCACCGAACATATAAAGCTAGCAAAACATGAAATAACACACATATTGATGCGCACGGATTATCGGCCATCACACATACATAATACATATGAAAAGATTACATCACACATACATAATACATATGAAAAGATTAAATCTACAAATTGGTCTACCAAAATCAACTATATATATATATAACATCCATCTAATTATTCCTTTTACGAATGGATTCATTTATACACAAGACTGCAACTTCATGTTCTTGCATTAATGGCAACCAAAATCTCAACATCAAATCCCAAATTAATCATCCATCATCAGTAATTTCCGGACCGACGAGAAAAAAAAAAAAGAAAAAAAAGCAAACCGTTTGCTATCTAAATCGATCATAAGAACCTCCGATAACCGGAGCCCAACGACACGGAACTCGGCCCAATCGTGTCGCCACTAGAATTCGCGTCCGTCTCGGAAATAGGACAGTCGACCGTAACCCCAAACAGCCGGAGCTTTTTCGCGGCGGCCTTCCCTTGCACCACCGGCACCGAACCTAAAACAACCCGGCCCTCCTCCGGCGGGCCGCAAATAGGGTTTCCGACGCACGGGCCGTAGAGTTGGGCTGGGCCGCCAGGCGGGGGGAAGAACGGCCCGAATGGGGCCCAGAGGCGTCCGGCTGCGGCGGCGGCGGGGGGCCAATCGGGACGGCGGCGGCGGCAGTCGATGAGGAGGCGGCCGGTGGGGCCGCGGTGGAAGGAGACGAGGTCGCCGGGCTGGAGGGCCTTGTCCCGGACGAAACGAGACCAGCCTTTCGTGATGACGTAGCTCTGGCTGCTGTGCCAGTAGGAGTAGCGGAAGCGCCAGGTCCGGCCGTCGCGGTCCTCGAACTGGAGGAGGAGGCCGGCCCGGCTGTCGTCGGCCCGGAGGGGGAGGTGGCGCTCCGCGTGCTGCTTCGGGATGACGAGGCGGTTGAGCTTCCCGACGTCGCTGGGGGTCACCACCTTGTCGAACATGTGCTCCACCGCGCCGCCGAGCAGCGACGGCGGCGGAGGAGAAGGGCTGTTCGCGGCTGAAGCAGACGCCGATTCATCTTCCTCCATTAAACTCATGTTTTAAATGTGTCTGTCTGTATATTTCTCTCTAAATCTTGATGGCTACCAAGTATAATTCTGCCCTAATAAACTTGGTAGGTAGATG